CAGTAATAAAATTTATCAGGTCAGTACCTGTTGCTCACTACAAAGAATTCTCATATAATTCATGCTTATTATTTTACAACATTGCCAGGTGACATTAAACAACTGAAATTGACACACAAGTTTAAGTAGCAAGTAAAATCTTTTCTACTGCTCAACTGTTTCTGTACAGTTACAGACTAGTAATTTTTCATCCAGTTTTTCTGATCCTTCCAGCAAATACTAAGATAGCCCCCTTGTTTTGTTTCTGGGTGGAAATGTAGGTTCACTATTTGTTAATTTTTGTGATCTCAGTGGGGGATGTAGCGTAAAGATTGGACTTCTCGCCATTGTATGTCACACACAGTGTTGTGTTTTTTTAAGTTAAATAAAAGGGCCAGGTTTAGTAGTAATAAATGCATTTATATATTTACGAATTTATGAATCCGTATCCAATATATGGATTCTTGCGAAATGTATACGTCTTAACGTTCATGATTGATTTGTCTGATTTTTAAATCCAATTTGTAGATTGAGTTGAGTTAATCGGTTTAGAGCAGGCCTTCTCAACTCAGTGGGTCGCCAAGCAGACAAAAGTCTTCGGACAGAAGGTCTAATAATCTGTAGGTTCAGTATATCAGCAGATTTGTTGCGAAATAGGTCTAATGCGATAAAAGATCCAATAAGTTACGAGTTTATGTTCGTACCTAATGCATTTGCAACTATTAGAAACACCTAAAAGTGATTAGATGAATAACGATGACCTAATCTTTCAGTTGTTGGTAGGGCATGTTCGACCAAAACAATCATGACAAAATCCTACCAAATTAATCGTAGGCACGTAGAGAAAATTACTATAATTCTAAATAACGTGAAGGTATCGGCGTGTACCTGCTATCTTTGAGCTACATTTTCAAATTCTGGGCTACACCAATAGGTGAAAAGAACTGAATATTATTATTATTATTATTATTATTATTATTATTATTATTATTATTATATGCATTACATACTTTGTGAATTAAAGTTTTTCATCCTCAATTGGGGTTTCATGTTAGACCTTAATATAGTGACATAATGTCCACTATATTATTTCTGTTAGATCAAAATAGATTAGACATTAATATCTGTTGGACCACCTTTAATTAGACATTATTAATCATCGGACCAATTTTTTATTAGACGTGTATTCGGGACCATTCTGCCATTACAATTAGAAAGTACACCATCTGTCATTACACCAAACGGCCTCATTGTTTAACGTGTAGCTAAGAGTCTTTAGCTGTCATTGCACGTTTTGCGAGGTCAAGCATACAAAACACAAGTGCAATTCAAAGTGATAAGGGGAAGGGGAATCTCAGCAGCCATAAAATTAAAGTTCCAGAAAGCAGTGAACACTCGGCGAACCAATAGACCCTAGAAGGAGTGTCCGGGGATACTGGTACAAGTGCTTGCGTGCGGGCGTACGTCTGTACGAGAGCGAGAGAGAGAAAACGTAAGAAATGTGGTTACTAGCTAAAAGGACACTTGTTATATTATTTCCGTCCTGAAACTACGCGACTTTGTTATTTTTATAAAAATATATAAACATATTATATATTTATGGAAAAAATCACCAATAAATTAATATTTCACATATTTCTGACAATAAAAATGAAAAACTTCACAACGCCAGCACTACAATTTTTTTTAACGTGCATCCACAGTTTTTTGGTTTTCCCACTTACTAACACTTTTTCAATAATGTTTTCTGAAGTTGAAACGTTTTAATACTTTTTTTCAATCATCGTCAAACTGATTGTGAAACTCATAAAAACACGCCACCTCACTGCCTAGTGGCTGCACCCGGGGCTGCTCACTTACTCTTTCAACGCACAATGCGTCACTATAGAGTACTATGTCTTCTGATAACCTCACATGGCCTTGACCAACGCGGCTCTGGCCGAGGAGTTACGATTGTCAACGAAAGGCCGGGAGATGCGTAATTACAAACCAAGCTCTGCACCTTCCCACGCTCAGAGCCGAGAGAAAGGAAATTCTCGTAAGGCCCTTCGCCTTGGGAGGCGAGCGCCCCCAAGGTCGAACGCTGACAACTGAAGCTCCTCGCCTTCATTGTGCGTCTGTCACGACTGAAACTCGTATCAGAGGGGCAGAGAAATTGAAACAGATTTAAAAAGGGAATAAAACCACAAAATTCAACGTCATTCACTTCCAAAAAAAACTTCGTCACGTGTATTTCCGAAACTAAAAAAAAAAAAGTTTAGATGAAATTCCGGATTGAAAAATTCTGTACATGTTTTTGTACACCCGTTAACTCGGATTTTCAATGCTTCTTTATGCACAGGAATATTTCCAGATATTTTCAAAACAACAAAAATTAAGTCACTTTTTAAAAAAAAGAGAACAGAAATGAATTTCAAAATTACCGGCATATTTCTCTTGTGTCAGTTTTCTCAAAAATATCATAGAGGCTTTTGAACACGCGAAAGGAAACTTTTCTCAGGAAAGTAGAAAGTACCGTACTGGCACGAAAATACATTATTTACTGATCTTTCCAATTCTTTACCAATTGAATATGGGGTCCCGCAAGGTCCGATGTTAGGTTCTATCCTCTTTCTGTTATACATAAACGTTATGCCCTAGTCTATTAAAGACGAAAAAACGGTTCTGTTTGCCTATGACACAAATGTTCAATACAAGAAAGAAACAAATAGTACGATTTCAGAAGTTTCAAATTGGTTTTGTAATAAGAAATTAAAAGTGACGAAAAACAGTTTCAATGCATTGTTGCATTTCAAATCAGCAATCACGTACGCAATTAAAAATTAACAATTTGCAATTAGCTGATGTTAAGGTAACAACATTTTTAGTTCTCTCAATTCAGTGAAACGTCAAACGGAATGTACATATAATAGAATTAAACACTAAAATTAAGTTCAGTATTTACGAACTCAGAATTCTTTCAAATTCCATCAGCCTTCATACAACTCGTTGCGTGCATTTTACAAATGTGCTTTCCCGCCTGAGATATGGCATAATATTCTGGGGAGGATCATCATGTAGTTCCCAAACCCTTAGATTGCAAGAGAAAATTAGTTGAATAATGAAAAAATGCCATCCGCATGATCTGTGCAATCCTCTCTTCATTGAGCTTGAAATCTTACCACTGACTTGCCTGTTTATTTACGAATCTGTAATATTTGTCAAAACTGACTTACTTAACGGTGGGAATATTTTTCATGCAATACTGATATTTATAATTACAATGCACTTCGTAGATATGATGTTCGCCCTTTCTCATCATATGATTGTTCGTAGACCAATCCCTCCAACTTGATTACCACAGTCCGGTACGCTAACCGTTTCACCATCGCCGCCGCGCTTTTTGCTTGTAGTGATAGGAGTAGAAGAAAGGGCGAGTTACTATTTTGTTAGCAATGCATAAAAATCAAATCTGTTATTCGTTTACCGTTGCAAATAAGTTTTCTGTAACTCGGGAACCAAAATGTCCTATCTGTTTTCAAATGTTGCTGATCTCGCGCTTTTTTAATTCTAGTTTTTATTTATCGTTAACTTTTATCCATCTTTTAATTATTGATTGTTAAAATTATGGGAAGTGATTTTGGAACTCAAAAAAGGTGATCTTTTCCCCTATACGTCACATAGTTTTACTGTTGTTTTTTTTTACTAAATTAATCTAAATCTAAATTTGCAGATGCATTCTTTCCATGAAGCCGATCTTGCGTCTTTCTGCCAATTGCATTAAATTCGCAGAAATTCCACTTTTAAAAAAATAAGAAACCGTTCCGTTTCCTCGGAGAGATTTCGTTTTATGCTGTGTAAAATGTCATTTAACTTTATGGGCTGGAGAAATTTTCCGTTTAAGGCAGGTTTCCGCCTTGTGCAGGTTCCAGTTTAGACATATTTTACTATTCTCTCTCCTTCTCTCTCATGTATATATGTGTGTGTATACAAAAATATGATATTTACTGTATATACATACATATACATGGGGTGTCCAGGGAGGGAACAACGAAACTTAGAATATAAGCTCTTACGACAATTTTAAGTATATTTTGTGTAATCAACTCTTCGAGACTTCGAATGTCTGAACGGCAATAAGCACTCAAAAGTTGTTTTGAAAAAAACTTTCTACGCCAAAATTTGTATTTCATAAACATAAACACGGCAGAAACATAATTATTTATTACTTGCAAAGGAAATTAACACAAAGAAAAAAGTCCCTAATTTACACAATTCAGCTGTTTTTTTTATTAATGTTAATTTTTGTTTGTGAACAAGCATCCATTGCTTTTGATAATAAATAATTTAAATGTTTCTCTGTAGTGTTTATAAGTTTTTGAAATGCAAATTAATATTAAATTAAAAGTTGTTTTACAAACCGTTTGAGTGCCTATTACGACTCAGCCGTTCGAAATAAAAAACGACTATTATTAGTCTAAATATGCTTAAAATTGTCTTAATAGCTTATTTTCGAAGTTTCGTTGTTTCCTTCTTGGACCTTCTTGTATGTAGATTCCATTTCAATTCTAGACCTCTGTTTTATCAATAGAACAAGCATCATCAGCATAAAGGTTTCATGCGTACAAACTTCCTTATCATCGCACTGCAATGGAATCATTTATTCAGTAACCATTGAAGCGCAAAGTTTGCCAATTTCTGGCAATCGAAAAACCATCTAGCTAAACACGGACTAAATTAAGGATTTTTATTGTATTTTTTCTGAAAGAAGAATATATTTTTATTAATTTTAATAAAGAAAATATATAACATTGGAAAAAATTTTCACCAGTAAGTTATTTTTGACGCATGACCTGTTTCTGAAATAAACGATTCAGTTAATATTAATGGATAGTGTATTGTAAGCGTGTTTTTCTACTTATAACTTAATAATATAATAATAACTAATATAAATTATAATATTTGAATAGATTTGATGTACGCAATGGTTTTATGAGATTAATCGATTAAATGGCTTTATTAATTAATTCCTTTCATTGCAGGTTGGTGAAAGTAAATGAAACTCTTTCAAATGTGCTTGGTAACAAAGAAATTGAGAGTATACAATGGGATGAATTATTCACTAAAATTATTAGTCGAATGACTCGTTCCTACCAAATGTCCTTTTCTGGTCATAGTTCCGTTTTGAATAAGGGCAAATTAGAACCTATTGACATTCAAGTGGGAAAGAGGACAGGAAATAAAAAGGTATGTACTACATTTTAGAAAATACATTTTTGCATTGCTCACTCCCAAGTGTATTTTTATTGTAACTATGTTTGATAACCTTTTAGATTAGTTGTGTAGATAAGTTAATAATATTTTAATTCCATTATATTATCAGTATTAGTCTAGTATCACCGTAAAAACGAGTAGTTACTCCTCCAGGAGAGTAGGGTGCATTTTCAGGCAATGTCAAAATAACAATAAATGGCACACAAGACACTGACACCACGCTGTCAACCCAAAACAAGTGTTTAGATTATGAAACAGAATTTCATCGCTTTTCTGATCCCTACAATCCAGCTCTAACATTGATAGATTCAAGCACAAACAGGCCACGAAGCAAGTCAGAAAAGAAACACGTGAAGCCTGCCCATCCTAGTCCACCAGAAAACAGACATTCCTACTGAGACAAAACAACGGTACTTGCTTTAGCTGACAGCCATGACCGTCACCATTCATCCATTTTTAGTGAGAAGTTACCCTGCATCTCCTAAGTTTCATGTGTTCAGAATCCTAATGGGGGGGGAGGGCTTGCGGAGGTGACCTTCTCGAAAACTGAACAATCGGGGCAGGCATTATCATAGGTGGCAAAATGGCATTAATTTGGGCCGACACTTTACTCCTGAACAACATGTAATCAAATTGCATTGATCCACCCAAAACATTATTATTGGAGTCTCGTCTCTGCCCTTCTGATACAACAGGCCAACAGTAAGCAATGGGATTAAGCACGCAAGTCAACTATAAAAACTGCATCTGAAAGAAAAAGATGTCACACTTTTTAAATTTATTTCTTCTCTGCCAAAAAAATCACCTGGTTTTATCACCACAAGAACAATGCTGCAAAACACTCTTGGTAGGCTGAGTGGCTTAGTGAGCTGGCTCAACATAAATCGATACAGTAATCCCACGCAATCTCCAACCAAAAATTCATCTCTTCCATTTTCCTTACTTTCTCCACTCCCACTATTTTGAACCCTTCGATCTCTTATGAATCAACTCCCGTTTCTTACAATCACAATATCGTAATCGTATCAATCACAAGACGTAAAACACATGAAATCAATCACTTCAGAAATAACTCTAACTGTAAATCACCTCTTGAGTGCATTAATTGTACCTTTTGACAATTTCAATGAACTAACATGAACTCAATTCCTAATTTTGTTACATTTAAACACTATCAAAACATTTTTGCACGATATTAACTGATTCTTAACTACGTGGCCTTCCATTACAATGTCTTTTTCTGTTACTACTACCACTGTTACTACTACTACTACTACTACTACTACTACTACTACTACTACTACTACTACTACTACTACTACTACTACTACAGCAACTGTTACTACTACCATTGCAACTGTTGCTACTACTATACCACTGCAACTGTTGCTACTGCTATACCACTGCAACTGTTGCTACTGCTATACCAATGCAACTGTTGCTACTAGTACTACCACCACTGCAACTGTTGCTACTAGTACTACCACCACTGCAACTGTTGCTACTAGTACTACTACTACGAGATGGTGATGAGCTAAACTCGCTTGTCAGTTACAAACACAGACAGAGAAGCTAGAAAAGCCAAAAGAATTAACACCACGCTGACGTAATGCTAATGCGGTTCCGGGGTGGAACTATGTTGATTGGATAGGGTTTATGAGTTTAGTGAGTAAGTCTCTCGCAGTACCCAATGAGCACGGAACTTCGGGTCTCCGTGATGGATTCTTGCAGTCTTCCTCGTAAATAAACTATTATTACTACTACTATTATTAGCACCTTTACTAGCTCTGCCACTATTACTACGAGTTGCTGGACTGGTCAGGGCTGTGTGTGTCTACGTGCGTTCCTGCGGTGTTAGCGATCCTTCAACAGCGTTTTGTCCTCTGGTGGAATGTAAGGTACGCGGGAACCTTATTTATTTATTTACGTCAAAAACAGTTAAACACTGTGTGTGACGTGCAATGGGGAGAAGTTAATTTGAAGTTACATTAATGTCCAGAAGCAAAACAAGGGGCTCTCTCAGCATTTGCTCGAGGATCAGGGTAACTGGACGAAAACCTGATCGAGATGGGGGTCATTGGCCCAGAAGCTGAAGTACAATATTTGTTAGTTTCTTTACAATTATACAATCCAAATGGTATAAAATACATTAAATGTCATTGTTAAAATTTATATTTACTTACCTTTTGGATGCTCGGTATAGTCTCTAATTGTATAGAAACAATTGTGTAGCAGAAAAGATTTTACTTGGGACTAAAACTTTGGTATCGAACTTAATCGTTTAATTTCATCTGTCATGGTGTTGTAAAATAATGTACATGTGTTATATGTGATTTTTTTGTAGTGAGCTGTTGATACTGTCACCTGATGAATATGATTACTACGTCGAGTCTTGTAGGTACAGTCAACGGCGGATGCTGAAAATATATTTCCGCCCTTAAATCATTTTTGACAAAAACCACTGATTCATATATGAAGAGACATGGTAAAATACCTTGATGAATAAAGAGATGCTTACATGAATCACGTGGGAGGGATTTACTTATTATTCATCCAATTCGTTTTTGTAATCTAAAAGTCTGAAAACTATAAGATGTATTTTCCCAAAATATTATGCCATATCACAGGCGGGAATGGACATTCGCAATGTATACACAACGAGCAGTATGCAGGCTGACCTAATGTGAAAGAACACCCCCCCCCCCTCGTCTCCCACTCGAGAGGCAACGAAAGTATGCGGTGGTGGAACTCGACGAAAGTGACGCCAGGTCCCTCTTAAAGGCTGGACCACTCCAGACATCTCTTTCGCTACGAAAAAACTGACAGGCAAAATCGAGAACTCGAGAGTCATTGGCGGCCTCAAAGGAAGCGCCCACCAATACATAACACTCACTCGCACCGAACAGGAACCGAACGAAACAGAAGAGGGTAACCACTGGTAAATATCACTGTGCGTAGTGGTTTTCCTGGACGTAACGCCATTAACTCGGTGCAACGAATTAACGTTGGGACGACATGATGCACAACTTGGAATCTTTCTAGATACCAAAGTACTTACTGTGCATCCTAAACAACTACCTGATGGATCAACTACTTGTCTAGTACACTACGTGCGAGCCTCACATTACCTGGGGAAACAACTATTTAGCTCCCTAGGTGTCTGGTAGAGATTTTCAATTCATCCCTTGGCCCAAAAAAATTACTACTACTACTTCTCACCACGGTCCAGGCAGTACGATACTTAGAAGTTAAATTTGATGATAACACATTCGACGAACACGTGAAAGAGGTAGTTATAAAAATGTGATAAAAATTAGGAGGCCCTAGGGCACCCAAAAGGGTGATTTTGTGCAGCGCCGTTACCACCATATTCTTTTACGCGACCTGAAGCGCTTTGGCATGAAGCGGTCACTAGGAAAACCATAAGATACGTTGAACGAGTTCAAGAGGAAAAATACTCCTAAGGATCGTCTGTGTCTACAGAACAATCTCCACGGCAGCCCTTCAAGTCATAGCGGCAGTGATCCATATAGACTTACAAATTAAGGAGAGCAAAACAATACCCGAAAGAAAGCGGGCAATGACTGGTAAAAGAAAAATCTTAGAGAAGAGATCTACGTGGAATGGCAAACAAGATGCGACGAGAATACACCAGTGGCACAGTGGACCTAAGCAAGTTTTCTGAATATCGCACTGAGACTACTGCAAGCACGGAAGAACAGACTACTTCCTCACAGATTGGTCATGGCAGATTCGGAGTTTATTCACACAAATTGGGAAAGACTGTGGTCGAACTGTAGTAGGTTAGTAGATGCTGCCTATAGGTAAACGGTATAGTCCATATGCTATTCAGTTGTACACGATGGGAAAGACTGCGGTACGGCGCAAACACAAAACTGGGAATAACGTTGAACAAAGATAATATAATACATAACATGAATGCACAACACTTGGGAAAAGGAAAAAGAATAACGAAACTGAGAAAATTCCATACAGCACCATCTTGAGGTCATGCACATAAGCAGTTCGAGGCCGGAAATTGAAGTTTGCTTTCTTTCAATTCGTGGAAATCCAGTTCCCAGACAGTGGGAACCACTATTACCACCGCCACCACTATTATCACCACCACCTACCACCATCACCACTACTATCACCATCACTACTACTGCAGCTGCTGCTGCTAGAGGTTGAGCCCGAAAAACCAGGACTGGAATCGGACCTGGACCCGTCCCCCACCCACCCACTCGCTACAGGGTGAGATAATGGGACTTGCGACGCCTGCCGCCACCGCCACCATCGTAATTATCACT